ACACTCATGGCTGCTTTGGTGCAGCGTTGTCACTCCATTACAATACAATTAGGTTGAAAAAGCAGCAGCAAAATTGCATTGGGTTGACAATAAGAGCACCTGAGCACAACAGCAGTGTGAACTGTAGAAGGTTTAAAGGGTTTGAGTTGTCAAATGCATTTTTGTAGACAAACTGTGAGAGTTGTTCCCTACACTACTCTGGAAAACCTCATTTTACAGTCATTACACCAAAAAACAAATGGGAAATGCTGCAACCCCAATATATTTCAACAATGTAAATAAATAACATAACAGCATTAAACTACCATAAACCAAAGACAAATAATGCCCCAATTAATTTTTAAAAAAAAATGCAAATACAAAAACAGGTTAATAACACCAAAACATAAACAAGCTAAGAAACATTTAGCTAGCTAGCAGCCACAGCTGAAAAGTCACACATTAGCAAAAGACGCACTTACTCACCTTAAGGAAGTGAAATGGAGTTCAGCACCTACTCAGGAGTAAATAACATTTAGGAATGAACAAGTCAGGAGATACTAAAACTCTGTTTCCACGACTCCACGCGTGTTTGAAAGCTAATGGAGCTAAAACAGCCCATAAAGCGACATGACTGGCAAGTGAACTGGTCAATATAGCAGAACTTGAAGCTTGTGAAGTACTTTGTGATTGAGAAAAATACAGGGCAGGACAGTGAGAGATTAAATAAACCATGAATTAACAAACACGCGTTTAAGCAAACGGATGCGTGGACCTGCTGCAACACTATAAAATTAAGGTTGTAAAGTTCAATTTACCGTTATAATATCCTTACTGTTCCCAAATATGAAAACCCTGAAATTTACTTGATGATTGGGGACTTCTACATGTTTATACGGTCATGCTCTGTAAATAACCTCTAATTTCACTGGTTTTCTTACGAACTGTTTGGCCAGTTTAGGGTGACGAATCCTCCACTACTACAATACCCATGAGCCTCAGCGGCCGTTGCTGTCGAGACGAAGCTCTCCGATTGGCCAAGCTGAAATGCCGCTAATTTAGGTCAACTTGGTGTCGCAAAAGTAGTGGAGGAAGATGCCTTTCTTTCTTTCTTTCTTTCTTTCTTTCTTTCTTTCTTTCTTTCTTTCTTTCTTTCGTTATTTATTTATTTAGCTGAACTAATCAGTTTGGATTTGATAAAACATTGAAAAATTCAGTCTCAATCTTGCAACTTAAAAAAAATAATCATAATAAATCACGCCATTCATCAGCAGATATGAAAGTGTAGATATATTTTGTTCAGTAACTTCTCATCCATTTTGCCTAAAAAAAATTTAGTAGCAAAATATATAGTAAAATATCTGTTGTAAAAAGAATAACATTTTATTGATCCCACATTAAGCAATATTCACATTAGAAGAAAATATGGCAACAATTAACAATATATCAATCAATGCCCTTTATTTAACCAGGTTAAAAACTCATTGAGATTTAAAATCTCTTTTTCAAGAGTGACCTGGCCAAGAGGGCAGCACAAAACAGATTACAGCAAAAACACAAAACACAAATAAAATGCAGTTTACACACTACAGAAAAACAAGAGTGGGATTACACGATTACACAGTGCAGTCGCAAGACCCAATTTTGCTTTTTCCCCTATCTTTTATAATTGTCTTATATAACCCACAGCATACATACATATCAACAATAAAGTGAACAGACACTAACTTACAAATTAATCATACAAAGTGAGGAGGCAGGCAGGGAAGCACTGCAAAATTGCATTTGAAGTAATGGAATTAGGTGAGGGGTGTCTGTAGGTACCAGTGTTGATAATTAGTAACAAAAGTACATGATTGGCACCTTCCTTAAGCTTTGCCCTAAATGTAGAAAAAAAGGGACAACACAATCCCATGTGCCTGAGTTGTGCTAACAGGGTTTTAATAACATTTTGGAAATGTTCCATAACGATCTTGCTCATGCTGACTCAAAAGCATTTCCCGTAGTGTTTTCATTGGCTTTTTGTGCTACAAACATCCTGCTCGACATCATTCCAGTGGTGCTTTATTGGTTTGCGCCTGGCAAGTGTTAAGACTTTTTTCAGGAAGCTAGAAACTAACATGGCACGGTGTCTGCTTCATGACCTGGCACATTATCCAGCTGAAGGTATGTAGTTATTTATACTAAGGGTGGAAAGTGGGCCAAGATATACTATTTTGTTGGAGCATCAACTGAACAACGACATTTTTCCACCTAGCCATCAGATGATGATAAGTCAACACGTGGCCACATCTCTCCAGCATGGTTGTGTGCTGCTGTAGCCCATCTGCTTCAAGGATCAATGAGTAGTACGATGTGCAATGCCCCAGTGAACACTAATGTTGTACATCAGGGTTATGTGCATATTTGTAGGCCACCTAGTAGCTTGAATGAATGCTGCTGTTCTCCTCTGGTTGCGTGCTGCTTAACCACAGAGTTACATTGTCAGAGTTGTGTGTCATGGACCAAAATAAAGAGCCCGAAATAACTGACACATTTGTTTTCTATTAGCAGGATCATTATTTTTCAGGATATGTTTTAGAACACTGTGAAATAGTCAAAATTGTAACAAAAATGCCAGCGTGCTACTCACATTCAGTTGGCTTTAAAGATACATCACACACAACATGAGCAAAGGTGCATTTTTTTTGCTGATTTAACTAAGTTTATCCAATTCCCTGGCATTTCATATTAAATATAACGTCTGGTGGCATTCACCTGCAGGTCAATGAGCCTACAGTGACTGTATTGCCAGTATGAGACATGAATGCATCTAATCAAACAAAGAGGCACTGGTAGAAGAATTAATAACAGATATTATTTAAGTTTCTATATGAAATTGCTAACATTCATCATTTCAAAAAGGTACGTCTTGAGCTCAGAGTAATTTGACGCCTGCATTAATAGCACAATTCTTGTTCTCTAACATTTAGTCAAACTGTCACTGAATCACTTGACCCTGTTTGTGCTCAAAAGTGTGAAAAACGTTGGTAGAGTTTATTATCATTTAGCTGTCTCTTGTACACTATAACCTCTATATAAAATTTCTAGCCCAAGCTTTACATTCTGAGTAAGAGGAAGATTTTTTTCTTAAAAGTGTTCTTTTAAATGAAATCCCCACCTGCAGTCCACTACACACAAAGATATTATAGAGGTCAGCATGTAAGACTGAGCCCCAGATTTCTCTGCATATATGTGTGAATTAAAGCTGATTCCACCTTTCTTTTTCCAGAGCTTTAACCGAGATACATGGTCTTTATTGGCTGATGGAGTTTGCTTAGTTGTCCTGACGGTGGCTCTGCTGACATGCAAGCTCCGGGGCTTTTATTATGTTAAATGAATTGCATTTGTATGATTTCTCTTCTTGTTATACTTAATTACAATTAAAGTGCTTCTGATCCTAACTGCCGAAGAATTCATCCTTTTGACAAATAAAAAAAACTCCATCTACGAATGAAGACTGTGTTGTACGATTGAAGGCATCAGAAAAAATAACTGAATTAATTTAGTCAGCTTTAGGTTAGGATTGTGTTGTCAAACTCTTTCCAAAGGCAAGGTTCCAAGGTTGGTAAAAACAAATTGCAAACTTGTACATGTATAGTCATAATTAGCTACTTACACATAAGTGTTCTGCACATGGAGGCATTTTTTTTCTCCAGTTATGTTCCTTAAACAGACTTCCTGACTGTCAGTCAAATATATGTCTGTATGCACAGCTGGAGTAGTAATAAACAGCTGCAATCGGTTCGTCTATTAGTTCACTGACCTGCGTTCTTTTGAAAAGATGAAAAATTATTTGCAGTCTGACTTCATGACAGACATACATTGCAGCTAAACAGTTTATTTCACTTCTTTTCAGTGCTTGTAGATTCAGCTTCACTGAGCATTTAAGAACACAAATGCAAAAGTCGCTAAAGCAGGTAGTATATTCTATTAAGGAGTCTGTGCTGCAGATTGAAGGTCACCAGTTTAAATCCACTTACAGCCAGAGACCACCTTTGTTGAGAAGCTGAACACTTCTGTGCCAGTGTAGATTCTTTACAGAGCTATACTGCAGTCACTCACATTAACAGCCCATTTACTTGTGTTTATGCGTAGCTTACATTCCTGTCATTTTGCACATGTGTCATAAACTCACTCACTAAAGCAACTATTTGCAAACATATCCCAAATTTAAAACACAAGCAACATATGAATAGAACGGAGTTTTAAGACACATTGCTTTCGGGCATTGTCTTCTCTCTTAGATATCTTGTTCTGTTTTTTTTGTTTCAGTCGATTGACACAAAATAAGATGTAACATAACACATGGACTGAAAGGATAAAATGTTTGCTGGTTTACTATAAATCATCCAGTTCAAATGTGTTTCATTACTGCACAGCAATGAATGATGGTACTCTGACTCGTACCAAATCAAATTTAATGCAAAAATTGAACAGAGACACAAAACAGACAATAAACAGCGATATTCTGATTTAACACAATGTTTTGGAGTGTTGACACCTTTCTAAATCCTCTGTTGTGTAGGTATGGCTTCGTATACAAAATACCAAATTCCAAAATGATCTGGTGTCTACTTGTTCCTAAATAAACTTTCAACTCTAAATGTTTTGCCATATATCTGTCTTTGACGGCACAGGATTACTTAAGCCAAGACAAACCTGTCAAAACTCATCCGTCCAAGAATGCTGAAAAAATGTACCGTGTTACTATTAAACTACACAGCATGCTTCCTCTCTGGATAACCCACAGCATGCATGTCTGTTTCTTGATTTCAGTATGTTCAGTATGTGACGATCTGGTGAGCGGGAAGAAACATATTAACTTTCTCTTCCCGTATTAGTCCCACAAAGAATGTGTTTACAGTGGGTTTATGAGCCAGTTGAGACACTTTCTCTGCTTGTCTCTCACCAGGACTGAGGAGTGGAGGCAGACGAGGGCAGAGGTGTGCTGGATGGAGGCCACAGCCAGGCCTGATGGCAGGAGGCGTCCAGAACACTCTGAGCTCTAATCAAATCCTCTAGGAGCCACAGAGGAGATACAGTTCACGTGGAGACACTGAAAAGGTATGAAGCTGATGGATGCTGCATATTATATATGTCAATGCAAAAGCACGAAGACGGTGCTTACTCACTATAATGGCATCATAAAATAAGACGGTTTTAGATGTAGTAGAGACTTACACCATGGTATAAACATCTTTTTCACAAGAATCCTATTGAGGCCAAATATGAGGAAAGTCTGCTTAAATTTGAATCAACTTTAGAGCTTATTTTTACAGTGATTGCAAAAATTGAAAATTCTTAACATCTCTATAAACTACCAAAAATAAAACATACTTGCCATACGTAGAATATGTGCAAAATATTTGTTGGTATTTATTACAGACTTTTATACTATGTTAAATACATTTTCTGATAAGTTGACGTATTTTTGGTTTTAAATGCATGACAAATGTCCCTCTTTTTATATTTAAAAAAAAAATCTTCAAAAATAAAAAAAAACAATACCTGTCACCGAAACTAAATGGCCTGGGGTCCAAAAGACCCCAAAAGTCCTGAATAAGGTTACATATCTAAATAAAATTTGCTAATAGTGATGGAGTAATCAGAAATGGGCTGTAACTTACACATAAAAACATAAAAACAACAAACAAAGTAGAACGTGGAGGAAAGGCATGTAGCTGTGACACATCAGTGAAATAATCTAAAAATGTAGTACACAATGACATGTATCTGAATTGAAGGTGCATGTAAAGGATGCTCTATTCTTAAAATGTGTGCCCCTGTTACATGCAATAAAAAAAGAAAATGATAGAATATTTTTAGAGGGTTTTACTTCCTAAGCTCTGATTTATTTATTTATTTTTTTTACAAGAACAGTTTGTGTTTGTACAAATGTGAAGGATTTGCGCTTCGCAAAGCTGTTTGATAAATACAGGCCTTGTCCTATACCCACAAAACAACACCGCTTTCCAGGTATTCCTCTTTGTCTGTCCCAAATGTCAACAGAAGTTTTTTTTCACTCCAAAATTGAGTGAAGACAGGAAAAGCACAGGTGTATCACTTCAGGCTGTCTTCCATGGGTGTCCCACGGAGCAGCGTTAGTGAGCCACAGTACTACACACTACTGTGGAATTCACCCGTCATTAATATAAGCTACACCTGTGTTTTTCTGCTGTAAAAAGCCTATGAGACATTTTTGCTCACCCACACATCCAGTGGTCTCTATGATAATAGTTAGTAGCCTCTAATGCCTGTTTTATGGAGTTTTAGTAAAATGCTTCAGTTACATGTAAAGCATTAATGTATTCATTCATGTGTCAAATGTACTGTGGTAGCATGATGTAATTAACTATAAAAATATCCATAAACACAATTATTTCTGTCTCATGAGTGACTTTGTTGTGGGCCTTTTACATCCTGTAGCAAAAGAAATGTTGCCACTGGGGAGGTTCTGTGTTCATTTCAAGTTCTTTCCTTGACTCCAAAATTTATAGTTCTTTTTTCACTTGATGAATGCTTCCTCCTCCCTGCTGTAAAGCAAACTTCCTGTATGTCCTAAAGCAATCCAAATTGGCACATAGTGTTCGAAAGAAAAAAAAAAAATAATAGAGTGTCCTCTCCAGTGGTCTTGTCTGTTTATAGCAATTAGACTAATCATCCTAAAACTGATGCAGAAATGATTTTGCAATGTCCAGATGTTGCACCACGCACAGGAAGACCGAGGAGAGTGGTGATCTGAGAGGAGACACACTGAACCGGACAGTCATCACAAGCATACATCAGTGTAATCACAGTGCACATTATGTACTGTTGCACAGGCTATGATTTTTCTTTTGATTTGTTGTGCCAACAGTTTTAATCCGTGAGCACTCACCCTGACACCCGAGGCAAACGTAGCATATAATAAACCTGCCTGACAGAGCTTGCTGGGGGAGCCACCACACGTGTTAACACGCCTGTAATTCCTGTTGTGCCGTGTTAAGTTACAGTACACAGCCTCTCGATCTATGCTAACCAGTAAGGACAGATGTTCTGCCGCGTGCATCGTGTTGTGAGTCACAGCATGGTGAAGAAACTGATACCAAACTGATGGAATGTTACAGCAGTGGTAGTTATATTCCCCGATGTGACACAACACACATGTCCACAGACAGTTTAAGTATCTGTTTATGTACATGACATTCTCTACTGCAACATAAAAATATGCTCTGTTTCTGGGGAATTATGCAATTTCTTTTACAGGGAGGCGTCTGATCAAATACCTGCATATGTTGTCTGTTTGCACCCTCAGAACCATAGGCCGCATATACAGTCTATACAGCAGATCATTTTTAGCTCTGTTTGGTTAGGTTTAGACGGAGAAAAAAAAATTCTTTACGTTTTGGGAAATAGCGCTTGGGTTAGGAGAGGAGATTCATTTCATTTTATCCATCCATCCATTTGTTATCTATACACCACTTAATCCTCACTAGGGTCACGGGGGGCTGGAGTCTATCCCAGCCAACTTAGGGCGAAGGCAGGGGACACCCTGGACAGGTCACCAGTATATCACAGGGCTACACTTAGAGACAGACAACCAAGCACACTCCCATTCACACCTACGGACAATTTAGAATCACCAATTAACTTCAACATGTTTTTGGACTTGTGAGAGGAAGCCGGAGAACCCGGAGAGAACCCACACTGCACAGGGAGAACATGCAAACTCCACACAGAAAGATCCCAGTGCCCCCACCAGGATGTGAACCGGCAACTTTCTTGCTGCAAGGCAACAGTGCTACCAACTGCAATTTGCAAAGACTTGACTTAACTAACCTTTATATACCGATGATGAATACATTAAAAAAGGAAATATATATAGACAATAATATGTCAGAATCCATGTGAGATAAATAAGAGAGTACCATTTAGTGAGTGTGATGTGATATCTGCACGGCTATATCTTGCAGCTGTTTTCAATGAGACAATGAATATGGTCCATATGCAGTGAGAGTCTGTCATCCTACAATACCCCAGAGAATATCTTTGGATTAGCCAGAGACTGTACGTGACTTCACCGTCCTCTCAGTGGAAGTAATTATATCAGTAATTTCACTGTTACTGCTAAATTAAATATCAAACATTCTACAGCTTCCTGTTTACATGTAGAAATGTAAGACAGAGACACTGTTGCTCCCTGAGCCTCTGCAGCGGTGCTTTATTTCAGTAGTGTGTCTGCTTAATTAGGATTTGCAGACTCTAACCTTAATCATGCCAGACAGAATTTTATACTTACTGTACTTAAGAAAACTGTTAACACTAAGCCATTAAACTCTTAGTGTCAGAGAAGATGTCTTTTCCTACTTTAAAGGTGAGCTGCTACATGCCCCTAAAGTAAGTTAATCTCCCAGTTCAACATGTTGTACCCTGGAATTGTGAAGGGGGAATTTATGGGAGTATCTGCACACTGGATTAAAGCTCCCAAATTTCTCTGGAATGAAAGGACATTATTTTCTTTGATCTAGTGTTCAGTCACTGTTTTCTGGACTATGAAGGGACACAATGCACATACAGGTTCATACTGCTTACTTACTTACTTACTGCTTCATACTCATTATTGTCTCATTCTTGGTACGCAAGCAAAAATATTCTTGAAAAATTGTCATAATGTAGTCATCAAATATATTTAGTTTAAAAACAGATCACATGACAACTGTGAAGTGAAATGTTATAGCAAGGTTATACCATCAGTTCCACAGAGCATTCGAGCAGCTTTTAGCTCATTGTTTTGCTCCTGGCCTGCTTTGGTTCTTGCCCCTTGTTCTCATAGTGTCATTTTCACAGGAACAGGAAACTTAAATATCAACTTTATTTTCCTTACTGAGCACTAAACAACCAATAAAGTAAGCAACTATCTGGTGAACACAGAGGAACACTGGCCAAGGAAGAAATGAGTTGTTGGACACCAAAAACACAGCTGAAAGACTAGAAAACCAGAAACATTACTACAAAAGAACACCAATGTTGCTCCATGTCTGGGAGGTATGGCAACTGATACTGCAAGCAGGCAATGGTTTGCTTGTCAATATACCAGTATAAGCCTTTGTGAATATGCTGCACATCAGCGGTAACAGAAGTGTTTCCTGTGCTTGTTGACACTCTCAGGTTGTGTGCCCATGAGGTCGTCTACGCTGGTCCTGTTCCTGCTCTTCAGTGCCCAGGCTGTGGCCGCCATCAGAGGGGACTTGTGCACCGCACCGCAGAAGGATCCAGGCAACAACCCCAACTCCATCCCCAACGTGGACCCCAAACTCTTCACCAAGCGCCACTACCTCTCGCCCAGGGTGCTTTTCAGCTCTCGGCCCCCTGATGCAGAGCCAGCGGGGTCTCAGAGTGATGGCAGAAGGACCCGCAGGCGAGCAGGGCAGCCTCAGCACCGCGGGGTGTACTCGGTGTGTGAGAGCATTAGCGTCTGGGTGGGCAACAAGACCAAGGCGACGGACATCAAAGGCAACGAGGTGACAGTGCTTCCGGACGTGAACATCAACAATGTCACCAAGAAGCAGTACTTCTTTGAGACGACGTGTCACAGCGCTCAGTCGGGCAGCTCGGGCTGTTTAGGGATCGATGCGAGACACTGGAACTCCTACTGTACCAACTCGCACACTTTTGTACGAGCGCTGACTTCATTCGAGAACCTGGTGGCGTGGAGGCTCATACGCATCAACGTGGCCTGCGTGTGCGTGCTCAGCCGCAAGTCATGGCGGCAGTGAAGACTTTACCTGCACACACAGATACAGAACATACGCAGACATACTCATGCTAACATGCAGACAGTTGTGACTTTGTCTGCATAACTTATCACCAAAGACTTCTCACTCTCTGCACAAAGTAAATTATTGGTATATGTCAAAGTATCAGGACTGCATGTATACACACCAGACCTGGGTCAAAGAGTATCTGCAGCTGGTTTGTCGCTGATATTTTTTACTTGTTTGGAGTACCATGGCTGTAGTTGAGTGACACTTATCTATTTAACCTATAGTTTATACCAGACTCAGCTTGTGGAGGTTTAAAATGCAGCTAGCTGGACCTGGATTTAACACAATTTATAATGGTCACTCTGAAAAACGCTCTAAAAAGCCAGCTGAGAAGTAAAAAATCTTCTTTTTATGTGAAGAATAAGCATCCTACCCCTACACAGCAAAACTAAGACTAATTATTAAGAGCACGTCGGATCTAACCAACTTTCACGACCGTTTGGAGCGCTCTTACATTTTATTGCATTTTTAAGTAGCAGGATGTTCTTTTATTTGTTAAGAAGTAGGAGCAAAAGTGGAGGAATTTTAATTTTATCTTTCACTTGCAAAATTTCACTTTTACCACTTTGTAAATGACCGGCCTGAGTTCAGCTGAACCGCAGCTAAACGGCAGCTTAACAAGACGTATGATGATTACGAGATCCGCCCCAAACAGCCACAGGTGATGCAGACTCGGAAAACGGTAATTAAGTAAACTGGTTTCAGCTGTCTGAGTTTCCTTGATTGCTGACTGTTGAAGAAGGAATTTCGAAATACCGCTGAAACAATATACAGTGCGCGTGATCGTTTGTAGTCTAGTTACATTTTTGATAAACACAAACATGTTTTATAGAATTTTGTTTGATAATTTTTTATACAGATGCAGTTCCATTTGTATACCTAAACCTGGCATGCAGAACTTTTGTCTCTCTCTTCTGGCAGTAGGAGTAATTACATAAACACTGTCGACACACTTGTGCTTATCGATCGCTTTATTTTTATAGACCGTAATCCTTCCTCTGAGCGCTGAGTTTCCTTTTTATCTGGAGCATCAGAAACTTTTCTTGGATGCTCCCTACGTTTTCCCACCACACTCCTTGTTGCTGTAGCCTAATCCATCTCTGTTGCTATGGTTGCTCCCCTTGTCAGCTCAGGCGAATCAAATATCGCTGGTTAACATAAAATGCATCGATACCAGCGCCACAGATACCAGATTTAAAACTCCAGTAGCCTATAATGCAAAATAGAAAAGTTTATGTGGCATCGATTGACTTAATCACAGCTGTTTTAGCAAAAGCTTGAATGAAGCAAACCTCCAATTATATGTAAAGTCCTACACTCCATCTTTAAGGCCTCAAAAAATACATAGTGTCACTCCAGACTGACTTCATGTCTGCAGGTACTGGACTTGTGCTGCTGCGTTAATTTATAAATGGCTACAATTAACTGTTCTCCATAGTTTGTCACCTAACAAATAATTTTCTCTCTGGAGTTAAAAATATGCTACAAGTTTATGAAGTTTCTGAAAAGAATAAAGCAAATTATGATGATTTATACTAATCTGTCCATATATACTGAGTTACTTGCACAATTTTAGGATCTTAAAACCATTTTCTGAGTCTTTACAGCAGCATTTATTTAGTTATATTTAGCTGATGTCCCCCCTAGCTGATGCTTAGTCTAAACTCAGTAACAGGGTTTAGACTAAACCAGAGGTGCATTTTGAACTGCACCCTCCAATAGGGATCACAAGACTGTGTGATTTAGTTCCAGACAGAGCAGGCTTAAACCTGTACTAATCCTAAACTGCAGCTAAACTAGCGAGAGCAACAGCCTCTAGGAGTTTTGGCACATCACAGCGGAGCTACTTACAGTATTTTTCTGCCGCCCATTATACTGTCTTATAGCACATCTCACTCACTGAAGAAGGCAAACACAACCCTCTAATTCGCAAATACAATTTGACCCAGGCCTGATATAAGCAAAACTTTTTGTTAAAATGTTGTTGTTGATATTGTTATTTATTAAATACTTACAAAGATGCACTGTGTGTGTTATGAAGTTGTCTAGCAAGCCTGCTGTTCCTTAAGCAGAGACTGAGGAAAGCCTTGACATGAAAATAAATTTCCTTTTTGGCTTGTGTGGAAAAATGAAGAGAAAACCCATATGGCTTCATTTTACTGCCATTAATGTGCTGCTTTGGCTTTGTGTTTTTCTCCTGTTCTTTATTCTACAGTAGATATGAAACAAAAGGGGGGGAAAGACATAAACACAGGATTTGTTATGATTCATGAGGCTAACTCTGGCTGATAATATCATTGCTTGTCATTTGGCAGTGACATTTTGGTGTCGTCAGCGCACAACAAATTGTACTCCAGGCATTCAGTCATTATCAGTTGTGATTTATTTTTAGGCTCGCAGCCCAATTTTGTATCACGGCCACAGTCTATGATCACAGCTGGCATTTGGGATGTCTGATGTGAGTCAGAAAGCTTGGAGCTAAAGTGGAAACAGAAACAAAGATCAGCTGTTGAGATTATGTCTGTGGAAGACTGTTGAGAAAAGTATTTCCGTTTGAGCTTGTCAACTGAAGACATACATGGCCAGAGAAAGCTTAGTTTCCAACTGACTTGTTCACCTTAAACTAATGCCTCACGACACTACACCAAAACAACTCAATGCAACACTTCCCTCTAGAGGTCAAAGGCTGGAACATATCCAATATGTCTGCAAATAAAACTCAGGAATTCAGGGAACTCAGGAACTTACTTGCTAACATACTGGATCAGATAGTAACCAAGACACACGTACCATATCTTGTTTTATCGCTCAGGCGTAAAAGTTACTGAAATTAAGTTGAACATGGATAAATACCCACGTTGTTATACCGTCACTCGCTTAAAAAAGCTTCAGAATTCAATGAAATACATAAAATATACTTTATGCCCTCGCAACACGCGTTTCTGTAGTCACAAAACAGTTTCATACGAGCAAAATGTGTTTTATATCAGTAATGAATGCTAGCATTTCAGAAGCTAGTTTTAGACTGTGTATTCTACCTGCGCATGCGTCGTGCTGAGTTCACTGTTTGTGCGTTGCCCTCGGAAAACACAGGACGTCTTTGTTTTGCTTCTCTTTGTTTCCCTTTATTGAACATATTAATAACAGACACATGACAGGTAGTCGACCCTGTGGGGTTTTTTTTCAGTCACTATTTATAATATTACGTGACACCAACGCGGCATATGAATCAAATAGCACAGGATGTGTTAAAAAATTAATATCAATTACCAGCTTCTGTCCCACGGAGGTACATTTTTCATATTTTAGCAAGAGATATTAGATGTCCGAGGCAGAAGAATATGTCGTTAGTGCAGGAAAACACAGACCCCGAAGCGGTCCTGTACTAGATTATACTGTAAATTTTTATTTTATGGTTTATTATCACAAGTCCTACAGCATATCGTAGAGCAACCATGTTTGGAATTACATTAAATTTAGGTTTGTATAATTAGTGTGTTGATTGTATTAAAGTCAAACTGACTTAAAGAAGAGAATCTGTGTTTATGTTACTGCACTATGTGAGAAGAAACATTTTATTTAGAATGCATATCTGCATTAAAAGAAGCCACACACTAAGTGGGGAAATAATTTAATTTCCCTTTACAACAATTAAATTCATAAATAAGGCTACTTACTACATTAATAACTCTATCTCACTAATGATAATCGTACTAATACTAACAATACGCCAATAATAATGATAATGATGTGATATTTTTTTCATGTTTTTATTGTGTTTTTTAAAAAATGTTACTTTATAGTTTTATTTCATTTATTTTATTGTTGTTTTTTAAGATAAGGTTGTAAATGTCAATATGGAAGTATATAAAAAATATAGTGTCTAGGGTAATTGTAGACCTTCTAGAGCAGTCCTAATTTAACACAATAATCTTCATCTAAGTGAACTGAGATTACATTGTTAATGGATAAAAAGGTAAAATCTGGTATATAAATACCAATAAATAGATTATTAAATATAAGATCAGATAAGATTAACTTTATTTATCCCTCACCATGGAAATGTACATGTTACAGAAGCTGGATACAGATAAGGCATGAAAAAAACAATAACGCTAAAAAAATAAAGATATAATAAAAGTCTTATAGAGACAATATACTAGGCATGATGAATCTACATGGATCTGTACATATATGTGACATAATGAATTTACATAAGCACGGATATGACATGAGTAAGCATATGGATATGTACACATATGACTTGATGAATTTACATGTGTACAGGTATGGCAGGGAGGATAATGTCACCACAATTCTGTTTTTGCTGTCAAAAACATTATTGGGGTAAAGACCAGTTAATCATGATGTTATTTAGGAGCTGCCATAACTTCCTACCCCTCATTTATACATTCATATATTCAAAGTGAACATTTTGTAAAAGTGGCAATGATACCTAATAATTACCTAAAGTCTCTGACAAAGTGATTTATTTCATATAAACTAATGTATACAAACCACAACTGACAGATTGTGTTAACATTTCTCACCATGTCCACTGGATGGAGATAATGATGTGTTCTGGTTCACACCCATAATACTTTTGTGTATGAGCCCAGTGTTGGTTTACTTTAGCACTTTCCTTTGGTGCTTTGCCTTGGTGATGCACTACAGACCATAGAAATGTATACTTCTGTGCTTCAGATATTCAAACACACTGCTGATACACTAAAGAGAATTGTAACTTATTTTCATCCCACAGGCCCTGGATGTCACTGCAGTTTATCAGTGATTTTGAATCCTGTTTATTTTCGACTCAAGTTGCCTTCAGACACTTTGGCAGTAATTCCCCAATTATTTCTGATAGGCAGAGTACCGTGGCTTATCCTCAGACAAATGTCCAGTTCAAGAATCTTTTTTTTTTTGCTCTAACCATGGTGTCTCTTCACCTCTGATACCTCTCGGATCATAAGGGTGACTCACGGTTGCACCATATGGAGATCAGGTTACATTATTGCACCCGATTTACATATCAAGCACGATAGAGGAGGGTGAGGAGGGTGGCTGGGGAAAGATAATAGGATTTTGACTCCATTATACCCTGAGGATATGGTTTCAGTTTGGGTGTACTTCCACTGTGATAATTACAGCTCTGAATTCCTGACAGGATTGGATGACCAAAGTGATTGGGTTAACACTGACACAGTTCAATGATCCTATTCTGGGTCACACGGAAACTATTAATCATTTGTAACTCAACAGTGTACAATGCTCTCTATCTATCTATCTATCTATCTATCTATCTATCTATCTATCTATCTATCTATCTATCTATCTATCTATCTATCTATCTATCTATCTATCTATCTANTCTATCTATCTATCTATCTATCTATCTATCTATCTATCTATCTATCTATCTATCTATCTATCTATCTATCTATCTATCTATCTATCTATCCACCCATGCTGGCAGTGTCATAAATGATTCCTTTCATCATTTTTCTGTCTCTCGTTGGAATTGTTATCTGATAGAAAATAGAGGAGGTAGTAGGCAGTGATGTGATGTGTCTCATGATCCACCCAGACTGATCCTCATTGATACTCTGGCGGATAAACAGGGGGGTCGCTGTTTCCCTCCCACATCAGCGCAGGGAACAAAGGCAGCACAAACATGAGAAGCTTGAATGTCAGAGCGGTTGAACCCGAGCTGACCTCCCTCCAACCCGCAGAGAACACACAGAAGAGCTTTGGTGACGCTCCACATGGCTTCTTCACACATATGAACGGGCCTGCATTCATCGTGTAAATTGAACGTTGCATACCTTTGCATACAACAAATAATCCTGTCTTCGTGCACTAAGTACGATTCACACACTGACACGAAAATAGACTGCACAGATTATGTTCGCTGCACTACGAAAAAATAAGCTACAATTTCAGCTACCATCAGGGACACTGAGATTTTAAGTGACTAAATTTGAATTTAAAAATGAATACCTTTGTTTTTTAGACTTAGCATGTTTCATTTTAATATATATTGTATTTTTATATCAATATATGCACTTGAACATAACATAAAAGGGTTCTGGAGAGTGCCTGGATTACATTTTGTTACCGAAGAAAGACAGTCAATGTTATAGGAAATGGAAAGAAGAGATACATTTTACTTTTGATAAAAATAGAATGACATAAATGCATCATACCAGTAATAACTTGTAATAATAAAGACAGTAGACAGTGAAGAAAGCTTACACATAGCAATAAATAAAAATAAAAATGGGGAATACACACACAAAAAAGAACTGGAATGGCACAGATATATAGCTAAAGTGGATCAAGTCATAGGGAAACTTTGGGACAGTCTGCACCTCTCCTGTTCAGCGTGTTCCTGTTTGTTGAAATATTTAGGAAGTACCTCTAAGGCAAAAGGAAATTTCTTCTAAAGGAATACATGAGGTGAGTTCATTTACCCACTCTGAGTGAGTAGGGGGATCTTCTTTGAAACATTTTTAGTACCTGTCATAACTTTAAAAGATAGTTGCCCTTACAGAATTAGAACAGTCTGCAAGAAGAACTGATCCTGACAAATTAAGCTCCATTTTTAATATATTTTTTAAACTGTATTCTTACTGCCATCCCATTATAGTTCACAAACACAACTAGATCAGTGGAGGAAGTTTCCAACAACACTTTTGCATCTATTACAGTTTGGGGAAACGTAGCTGTTTGATCCTTTGTGGGAGTAATGGATTCTGATTCTGTTCCTAAATTTTCTTTTTCTAAATATATTTTCTATTCACTTTTGTTTTTGTGCATTTTTGTGAGCTTCTGCTTTTCTGTGAATACCATGAGTGGGGGAAAAAAACATACGGTTTTCACCTAAGTAATTGTGACAAATACAATTTTTTGGCTCAATGACAGCACTGGCTAAAGAGTCACAAGATCATCAAAGCTACTACAATTTGTCCTGAGAGCAATGTGAACTCCATCGGTTCATTCAACCATTTCTGAGACACTTTACATAAAACCACAAATGTTACAACTCACAGTGGCACAAGAGAAAAAGTTAAAAAATAAAAAAAATCAAGGGATCATGCATCATCAGGATTCATCCTCTAGGGCAACCGGGGGTCGGGACCCCTATGGGGGGTCCCAAGATATTTTGGCCAGATCATTGTAAAAAAAATAAAAATAAATAAAGCCTACATTTATCAAAT